ATCAATCATTATAAAAATAAAATAAAAAAATCATTATAAATAAGGAAAGTACTACATATAAAAAGTGCCTATATATATTGAAGATGACAAGTTCGTGGAAACTGTCCATGCGGTCGGAGCTAAGTTCTGCAAGACCCGCCGCAGAAGAACACAAAAACACACTCTTAATCTCATGAAAGTTAGACGGGAGATGAGGCTGCAATCGTCAACAGATTTGACAGCATACAGGCAACTGAACAGACAGATCTCCAAATGCATGCGGCGAGACTTACGCAACTTCAATACTGCTCGTATTGAAGAAGCGATCGAGCGGAACCAGGGCTCCAAAGTCTTTGCCAGAGATCTGTCTGCCAGTAAGAGCCAACTGTCAAAGCTGAAGACTGAGTGCGGCAGCATCGTTTCCGGGACACCTGAGATTCTGAGTGAGATTGAGAGGTTCTATGGGCAGCTGTACACATCATCGTTGGAGCCACACGCAAGTATGAGTAACGATCCAAGAGCAAGTCTTATCCGACACTATTCCGATGATATCCCGGACGTCAGTCTGAGCGAGATTAGAATGGCTATCCGGCACCTTAAAAACGGCAAGTCCCCGGGCGAGGATGGAATTACAGCGGAGCTTCTAAAAGCGGGTGGAAAACCATTACTTGAAGTCCTTCAGAAGCTCTTTAACTCCGTCCTCCATGGAGGCACTACTCCCGCGGCGTGGAGCAGAAGTGCGGTGGGCACTTCTGCTCCACGCCGCGGGGGTCTTGTTCTTTAAGAAAGGTGACAACGCCCTCTTGAAGAACTACAGACCGATATCCTTTCTGAGCCGCGTCTACGTGCTGTTTTCGAGAGTCATTACGAACCGTCTCGCACGCAGACTTGACAACTTCCAGCCTCCCGTACAAGCCGGTTTCCGAAAAGGCTTCAGTACCATAGACCTAGACATACCAGGCGGTCCCATAATGAACTGCCCTGATATAGTTCAACGCGATATGTCGCTACATATTGTGTTGCATTAAATAGTACGTTTATCGTGCACTTAATATAAGAAACATGCATCGACATGAAATGCTTAGTCTTAGTTTAACAGGCATTTGAGTAACGAGAGTCGCGTATTTTTTCAAAATGTCGAAAACTGAGTATCGAAGTGTCATAAAGTTTCTGTTTAAAGAAGGTTTATCCCCTGCCCAAATAAAAGAACGATTGGATGGCGTGTATAAGGAGTCTGCCCCCTCCTATATCACAGTGAAAAATTGGGTGAAAAAGTTTCGCCTCGGGAGAGAAACCGTCGAAGACTTTGGCCACGACGGTCGACCTGTGGAAGTGCTCACTCCCGAAACGATTGCTCTTATCGAAGAGGAGGTTCTGAGTGACCGCCGTTTGAAGATTAGAGAAATTGCAGCAAGGCTTGGGCTCTCTAAGAGTACCGTTCATCGCGCGATCCATGAACATCTTCACATGAAAAAAGTGAGTGCAAGATGGTTACCGAAACTTCTTTCAGCGGTACAGAGACAGGAAAGAGTGCGCTGCGCTTCGGAGTTTTTGGATCTTTGTGGCGAAAATCCAAAGACTGTGATCGAGCGGCTAGTGACTGGTGATGAAACTATGATCTTGTATTATGATCCACAAAGCAAGCGCGAGTCAATGGAATGGCGTTATAAGGGTGAAAAGCCCCCTAGAAAGGCAAAGGTGCAACAATCGACTAAAAAACTGATGTGCACAATATTTTGGGATTTTCAAGGCATTTTGATGGTGGATTTTAAAGAACGTACGAACGTGAACGGCAAATATTATGCTTCTTTAATATATAAATTACGAGACAAGATAAAGGAAAAACGAAGAGGCAAGCTGTCTAAAGGTGTCCTGTTGCTCCATGACAACGCCCCTGTTCATACCGCTGGTGTTTCGAAGGATGCAGTTCGTCAATGCCAGTTCACAGAAGTTCAACATCCACCTTACAATCCAGACATGGCCCCGTCCGACTATTATTTATTTCCAAATTTAAAGCGTGACTTAAGAGGAAGAAAATTTTCAAGCGATGAAGAGTTGCAGGCGGCCGTCTTCAGTCATTTTGAGGATAAAAAATGTGATTATTTTTATAAAGGTTTAGAGATGTTTATTCACAGATGTCAGAAGTGTGTTAGTATTCATGGTGATTATATTGAAAAATAAAATTGGTTTCGTTTCATTTCCTTCATTGGTTCATAGTTAGGCCAATTCATTATGGGACCGCCTACGTACATACCCTTCGGCAAATTGTACAGAAGTCCGAAGAGTATAATCTGTCACTCCTCATGTGGACTATGAGAAAGCCTTTGATTCCGTCGAAATTTGGGCGGTGCTACAGTTTCGAAGTCGGTATATCGAAGTGCTGAAGTGTTTGTACAGTAGGGTTACGAAGGCTATCCGAGTACAGAAACAGAGTTCGAAAACTATCCAACTGCAGAGAGGTGTAAGACAGGGTGACGTTATATCCCCGAAACTCTTCACCGCTGCATTGGAAGACGTTTTCAAGCTACTGGACTGAAAAGGATACGGTATTAACATCAATGGCGAGTACATTAATGGTGGTTAATATAGCGCATAGCGCCATATTATAGCGCGCTATCTCTTCATAACGCATAACGCGTGCTATGTAAGTAGTCGCCATGGCGCTATGACGCTATGACGCTTTGGCGCTATTCATATCAAGCGGCAATTAGTTCTAGCAGCAGCGCTGTTGGGAGAGGACGTGTGACGCAAATTTAATCTAGCAGCACGCTATTCATCGCGCGCAAACTAATTTAGTGTTAGACGTTATTTAGTTAGTGTATACTGTATATTTATAAGTGATCGAAGGACACAGTTGTCTGCTACAAAAGAAGCCTAACTAATGTTTTTAAATGTAAATAAAATATAGATACAAAAGTGTATATAATAGTGTTTGTTTAGTTGATTTTTGTATATACAATTAATAAACTTTTAAATATACCTCTGATTTATAATTTACAATAAGGTTAAAATAACGTTTACATCAATTATAATAATTTTATTTTGTTTTAAAAAGTACAGTCCTTAAAAATATTTTTAGGATTTTAAAAATTTTGAAAAGTTTTTAAACTTTATTTTATTTTAATTTAATAAACTTTATTTTATTTTAATCTAAAATTCGACTTATTTCGAAACAATGTTCTTATATAACACGCGGTCTATCCAATGAAGGACATGTAATGTAGCTCCGAGATATAGCGTGCTGCTAATAAACTTAACGCGCTTGCCGGCCTCCTACACACTTTTTTATAAATAGCGCGCTATAACATAGCGTATTTAATAGCGCGCTAGAAATTTCTAGTTTAAAGTCTGTAGCGTGCTATTGATTTATAGTCGTTTTGAACAACTTTAGAGTACATGACTGACCTTCGATTTGCCGACGATATAATCCTTATGGCGGAATCGCTGGAGGACTTAAGCACTATGCTCGTTGACCTCAATAGTGCCTCTCAACGGATAGGTCTTAAGATGAACATGGACAGAACAAAGATCATGTTTAATGTCCATGTCACACCTATGCCGGTAGTTGTTTGGAGCACTTTGCTCGAACTTGTTGACAAGTACGTTTACCTGGGACAAATAGTCCGACTAGGTAAGTCCAACTTCGACCGAGAGGTCAATTGACGGATTCAACTCGGCTGGGCAGCGTTCGGGAAATTACGACACATCTTCTCGTCAGGTGTACCTCAAAACCTGAAAACTAAGTCGTACAACCAGTGCGTGTTGCCAGTGATGACCTACGGAACCGAGACGTGGTCCTTCACTGCTGGCCGTATGAGGACGCTCAAAGTCGCTCAGCGAGCAATGGAGAGGGCTATGCTTGGAGTTCTCTGCGAAAACTTAAAAAGAAGAAGGACCACAACAAAGAACCGACAACCGTTGGGGAAAAAAGTTTCTCGAGTGGCAGCCTCGTACCGGTAGGCGAAATGTAGGGCGACCCCACACTAGATGGAGTGACGACCTGGTAAGACATGCAGGAAGTCAATGGATGCAGGTGGCTCAGGACCGTGCCTTGTGGCATACCTTGTGGGAGGCCTATGTTCAGCAGTGGACTTGTGAAGGGCTGTAATGATGATGATGATGATATATTGAAGGTTTGTAGCCCCCGGTTAACCGAACGAAAGGTCATTGTCCGTTTTTCTCAATCGATTTGGCACGTACAGTAGTTTGTAATATAAACATATTTGCCACTATATAGAGGATATCCTGCTAGCAGAATGAGTCAAAAATCAAAAGGAGAGAGAGAATCTGTGTAAAAACCTGAAATATTTTATGTATACGTTTATATGTATGTCTTTTCTATGTACATATGTATACTTAAAACTTTAAAATACTTTATTATATATATATATATATATATATATATATATATATATAATATATATATATTCCTTTTTTACCGTCTGCAAAAAAAATTAGGGTATAACATGTGAACGGAGTAGAGGCCTATGGCACTGATATTTTACTAAAAATAAAACAAAAATTTGCAATTAAACGTTTGAAAATTTTTTGAACAATTACTTTGCCCTTTACCCTTGAACCTGTGACCCTGCGAAGTAACAAGGTCAAAGATACCTACTATTGCCGTTCGTAAAATAGGGTGGATATGACATGTGGAATTTTCTATAGTCGCCTATTAAAACAAATTTAGACTGTCGTTAATTCACTGGCTTGACTTCGAACCAAGGGCAGACTGCATAGAATAGAAAACAACCATTGGTATTCAAAATACCTACTTAGATTACAAGAATAATTATTTTTCTTAATCTTTGGATGCAGTTAGCTTAGGACCGTGCTTTGTCGCATTCCTTTTGGTAAGCCTATACGTTCAGTGCGAACAAAAAAAAATCACACAACGCGCTTATAAAAATATAAATAATGTAAAAAAAAAAAATAAAAAAAAAAGTGAGCACACAACGGGGAATTTTTATAATAATAAAAAAAAAATTTGTAGATAACTAGACTTGGCGCTGATAACTCACCTGTATAGCGATGATGATAGTGTCATTTTGGACTGGACCGAAGATGTCCTCATTGTAGATGATTTGAGCGTCATTCTGCCTCTGGATAGCTCTCCGTATGTCTGATACGTTCTTTGGACTAGCGCGTTCTGTCGCATTCGCTGGGAAACAAAGGTTTTTCATAGTTATGTGGTATACATTAATAAATAGACATGATGATGATGACTATACGGCTAATATAGCTGTAGCATGGCTCTACCACATGAGTAAAGAAACCGACCAGAGGGGAAGCTACATACAAACGGCTCGCTGCGAATACACCCATACATAGCGCAGCGATGTGTGCGTGAACTCTCACCGACGGGTTCACCGATACTCCGTCGCGGTACAAACCGGTTTGCGCCGGCTCAGTCAGAGTATCCATGAAAGGGCTGATAGTCGTGCGCATTTAAATAAATGGACCAACAATATTTCGAAATTTTATGTGTCATTTAATTTATTAAGTTTTTTGTAATTACTAAATAATAATCCTAAAATGCAAAACTGCCTAATAGTTCTACAGTATGCATGAATAACTCTAGAGAAAATAAGGATATTTCCTTTTTTTGTATCCGAGAGATCAAGTGAAGAATCGATAAGAAACAGCTTTTGATTTAGAACATTTAATAGATATTATATTGTTACATTATGTAATATAAGTTATAATTAATACGCATGTTGTTTGATGCACTATAATATTTTAATTTTTTTCCTTATTGTTTAAAATTTATCGATACGAAACATATGTTGATACATTAACATAAGTTATAATTATAACACACGTTGTTTTATACTATACAATATTTTTATTTTTCCTTAAAAATTTCATATGCATCATTTTGACAACCCTATCAGAATAGATATACAATTTCGACGTTGTTAGGAAGCTTCGCCTCTGGTCCTTACTCTTTACTCTGTGGCTCTACCACTACGCTTGTCAAGCGTGACAAATATGGCAAAATCTCCCCCATAAGGAAATCTATGGGTGCGGCCTAGTTCAGTGAACTTTTATAGCCTGTAATGGATGGATGTATAGAAGATAATCTACCAGTATATCAAGAAATATTTATATCCACAGTAATATTACAACTATGGCAAATATCACATCTATGAGTCAATCTATGGGGGAGGCCTATGTTCAACAGTAGACTTTAATAGGATGTAATAGATGTATGTATAGAAGATAATCCAGGAGCACATGACCCACTGAGAGGAAAAAATCACACCAACTATGAGAAGATATCTACCAGGAGCACATGACACACTGAGAGGTGAAATTATTAAATCAACAGCAACATTACAACTATGTATATGTTAATCTACAAGGAGCACATGACCCACTGGGAGGTGAAATTATTAAATCAACAGTAATATTACAACTATGCAGAAGATAATCTACCAGGAGCACATGACACACTGAGAGGTGAAATTATTAAATCAACAGCAACATTACAACTATGTAAGATAATCTACCAGAAGCACATGACCCACTGAGAGGTGAAATTATAACATTACAACTATGCAGAAGATAATCTACCAGGAGCACATGACCCACTGAGAGGTGAAATTATTAAATCAACAGCAACATTACAACTATGTAGAAGATAATCTATCAGGAGCACATGACCCACCGAGAGGTGAAATTATTAAATCAACAGCAACATTACAAACTATGTAGAAGATAATCATCGACACTGACCCCGGAGGTAAATATAAATAACACAACATTACAACTATGGAAGATAATCTACCAGGAGCACATGACCCACTGAGAGGTGAAATTATTAAATCAACAGCAACATTACCACTATGGCAAATATCCCCCTATGTGGCAATCTATGGGGGAGGCCTATGTTCAGCAATGGACATTCATAGGCTGTAATGGAATAATCACAGGCTAAGCATCAAAATTCAGATGCGATTTCACACTTGAGGAATAAGATAGAATGCCTCGTTACGGCAGGGTAGCTATGATATGAGTAAGTTGAAACCTTACCAGTAGAATTCTTGGTGTGGACCGTCAGGTACTTGTGGAGTTCAGGTGGCACCAGAGCTAGAACTTGTTCAGACGTATCGTTTGAGTTCATCAGCTCCTCTGAAACAGAAGTGTTACAAGTTTCAAGTGTAATAATATAATCAGACAAAAATAAAAATAGAGCACGTGGTAGCTCTGGGGCAAACCTCTGGACGTAAATTTCACAGTATGCGAACAACTCTGGTTCTAACCGTTCCGAAACCAATGAAATCGTTAGTTGCGAAGCGTGTACATAGTAATTACTATGAATGCCTCGATACGTCCTTTTGCCGATAAGATACCGATACCAGTGCTCTAATAAAAATATCGGCGATACCGATACCGATACGCTTATTGAATTCATAAATGTAGGTAAAATAAATGAAACACAAGTCAAATTATTTTTAATCAATATAAAAATAACAAATAACAGGAAATACAAATAAAACCGTTTAAGACTATATACAGCATGAGACAGGTTACAAAATTAAAATTGATGAGATTTTTCTTTAGAAAACAAAGCATTCTTAAGTTTTGCGGAGAAAGGCGATTTTGTAAATCTCTTTGAATAAAACCTACGGTGGAAAATAGTCTCTCAGATGCGTCAGAACTCATTTGGAAACTAAAGTACTTCTTCGCCATTTTTTTTGTTTTGATATAAAACGTCATTGCCCCAGAAAACGAACGGATATGTGCCTCTCAATATATTGGAGACCTTAGGTTTCTCTCGAATTCTTCTGTGAGAGAATTACAGCTCAAAGTAGACAAGGGCTTATCTTGATCGGACTCCCTAATAATAGCGCGAAATTTAAAAAGTATCGTTGAATCTACCATAAAAATATCATCGATGCCGATATATCGCCAAACATCGAGTATCGTCGATATATCAGCAAACTTCGAGTATTGTCGATATATCGGCTTCGGTATCGGTATCGGATGCATCCCTAGTAATCTCAGGCTCACAGCTCACAGCCTGAGACGAATCACAGACTGAGCCTGAGTCATTACTTAGTCCTCAAAGGTCACAACGCATCTGTAGACTTCTTTGTTTGAAGTTAGCTGCAGGTGTCCGTGGACTGCAGTAACCACTAACCAACAGGTGGACTGTCAGTTCGTTTGCCACTAATTATTTCTTCTTTTTTTATAGGATTGGGTGACATACGAGCACACAGTCCACCTGATGGTAAGTGGTTGCTGTGTCACCCGTGAGGACTAAGATGGAATGTCTCGTTTCCAGTAAAAAGGGTCTCCGGTTCTCTACACTCACCATACCAAATACAGCACCATTAAGCTGCTATTTCAGGCTGGTATTCTGTGAGAGCGTGGTCCCTCCCCGGTCGAGCTACTATACTTCTAATATAACTGCAGCGTGGCTCTACCACGTATATTTTCATTCATGTTTTTTTATGAAATAAGAGTGACAAACAAACACGCAGTCCACCAGATGGTAAGTGAATGCTGGCACAGACATCTACATCTACCCTCGATTACGTATCAATATTTAGACGTGTTGTCACTTAGATGGTATACCTTGTCCAGTAAAATATGGTCTCCAGTTCTCTACAGTCTCCATACGAAACGGCAGCATTAAACCGCTATTTTATTCTTATCCATTTTTACAACTTTTTTTTATTAACTGGCTTTACGGCTCTGGGTTCTAGCCCTTCTGAGACCTATTTTAATAAAAAAATCCTTTCACCGCCGAGTACCAGCACCGTTAGTCTTCATAAAAGCGTTTAGTATGTTAAGGTATTTATTCACAAAATATATTATAATGCAATTCACGTTTCAATATATGTATATACATAATATAATACATATATAAAAAGCACAAGGTCCGTATGCTGATATTAGTATCGCATTGCAACGATTTTAAATCAGGGTGATGTTACACAAAAAGCTGATTTTTTGTAATATTCTAAGTCAATTCTTGACTGAACAGTAGTCATTAATTGAATTTTTAAATGTTGTCAACAAATAATTACTCACAGTTTGATTGAATGAAGGGTTGCCACCCATTTTTTTATTATGTGTGAGCGGCTATGCAGGTCTAGGGAAGGATACCAGTATCACTACGACCTAAAAGATCTATGTATTGTGATTGCTGCTATGGCTATAGTTCACTGCTAAGCTCTATGTCTTCAATGAATAGAAGAAGTTGCTTAGCCGTGAGCAATTTCACTTCTTCTGGGCGGAGTACATAGTTTCCTAGATGAGTGTTACGTTTGCGCATTAAGGGTCCCAATCAGTTAGGATGTGTAGAGGCGTTTTTTCCATTATGGAACAGAACCGACACATCGTTAAGTTGCTTAGTCCCAGGATGGACATGTGCTTTTTAAGACAACAGTGTCAGTGTCCAGTTAGGGCTCTTGCCAGAATGCGCAATTTATTTTTACTTAATCCCATTACTTCTGAAGCGAATTTACGATCAAAAGCCCGGATTAAGGTTTTAGAATGTTTTAAGCCTGGTGTGTCAGACCAGATCTTAAGTGATTTACTGTGATAAAGAATTTCAAGGGATTCCACAAAATGGCTCAGGTCCAAATTGTGTACTCTTGAGCCCTTCCGTGCAAGTTTGTTAGCAAATTCATTGTCTACAATAACCGCGTGACCCGGAACCTATCTTAAGACGACACTGTTGTTACATCCCAGAGGATTTAAACGGTTCACGCAGTCACCAACTAGCTTCCAGTTCACTAAGTTTGACCTCAGCGTTAGCAGTGCTGCTTGACTGATCAGAGTTTATATAAATTATATGATTGACGTAGTGTTTTTGCAGATTGATTTCCGCACACTGAAGTATGGCGAAAATTTCTGCCTGGAAGATAGAGGTGAATCTACCCAAATTACACTACACTAAGTTTGAATTTGGGGCGTTCTCCATAAATTCCAAAACCTACGCAGAGGCCCATTTTAGACCCATCGGTATACTATATGAGGCTACCGACCTCACAGATAACATGGCCATTCAGCCAGTTTTCTCGGGAAGGTAGTTTCACTATATACTTTTTAACCAAAGTGTATAGTGGACGCATGATATCTGAGATCATGCATAAGACCAATGTTTTCTTAATTGAGTCGAGCATGAATCTCAATCTGTAGGAGAGCAAGCTCAGACCGCCCTGGGCGTTAATCATATACAAACTAGTCTTCGCCTGCTTGTCTAGATAAAGATCAAGGGTCGTTAGGCATAGAAATGCATTAAGAGCCGCTCCAGGCGATGATCGCATAGCTCCAGTTGCCATTAAGCAGGCAGTCCTTTGTAGACTGTTTAGTCTGTCCGCAGTCGCCTTTTAGTTGGCCTTGTTGCACCAGACAATAGAGGTGTAGGTGAGAATCGGCCTCACTATGCTACTGTACAGCTGTGGGACCATACTGGGACGCAAGCCCCAGTTGTTCCCGACCAAACGATTGCACGTACCTAAAGCAATTTTTGCCTTATAGCATACGTTGCTAAGGTGAGAGTTCCACGTTAGTTTTTGGTCGATTGTTACGCCCAAATATATCTTTACTATTAAGTTTTGGTTGGAATAATTTGTCCAACCGTCTCTTTTTGGTAAAGGGTATTATAACAGTTTTATCAGAATTAACTGATAAACTGTTATCCCTACACAATTATTTATGGTGTTTAGTGCTCTTTGTATTATTGACGATAAAGTACTTTGGCAAAAGCCCCTCGCAATGATCACAAGGTCATCAGCATAACCCAGTGTGTCAATGCGTAGGTCTGCCATTTTGTACAATAGTTGGTCAACCGCAAGAGTCCAAAGAAGGGGTGACAAAACACCTCCTAGTGGGCAGCCTCTTGTAGTTGCGACCTTAATCGAAGTTAATTGTGATTGGAAGTCGGGAACAAAGTAAGTTTTACGGAAATAATTTATTTTGTCATGAATGTAAAATTGAAAGAAGAAAGAAATAGAGCATGTATTAATTTAATTAAAAATTAATGGCAATTTTTTAAATATGAATCTTAATTGCTCAGACTCGTATAATTATTTTAAAGTTAATAGATTATTAATGGCCAAAGCAAAGAGTAATAAAAATATATATAGAAAATACATATATATTAAAATAAACGTGTACTTTTTCCAACAACATCCAATAAACAGATCAATATATTCGAAGATACAAATATCTTATAGCTTCGCTTTCACATTGGACGTAAGCCCTATTTCTTCTTTTATTATAATGCATGTTTAACATTCAGTGAAGACAGTGGGGACGATACCTGAGTGGATTGGTAAACACCTGGCTGCATATAATCACACGGCTCTCAGCTTCACAACATTCGTTTGCCCGATTGCTATATTCAAAAAGCGTTTCGTACTCCATAACGTTTCGTTTTATTACAATCGAGATGCATTTAAAAACGGTATATACAACTAGCTAGGATGTTAACTTTACACGGTTCGTAAATAGTCAATCTGGTGGTTTTATTTTTCTATTTAATTGGGATAACAAACAATTGTAATAAAAGTTTATCAGTTTCGAGTTTGCTGTTTAATTTTTTGCACATTTTTAACGTATTCGTCTTATACGCTTTTTCGTATTCGAGGATTGATGTAGATGTCTATGGGCCACAGTATACATTTACCATCAGATGGACTGTGTGCTCATTTGTCACCCTTATCCTATTTAAAAAAAAACGACGGGTACTCCGGGATGCCAGCAGAAGTGAAAACTTGAATATTAACGTTGTGCATTTTTGATATTTTGGAATGGTTAGGGAATAATTTTGCACGAATTGCTTTAATTATATATATCATTTATGTGGTAAAATACAATATTTATTTATTGCGCTATCGTACACAAATATGACAATTTATATTACATTAAAAAGTTAATCTCCTACGCCGCGCGCCGGCTGTCTCTCTCTCTCCATCCGTCTTACGAATTTTCGATCAGGGTCACGTGTCCTGACTCGAGTTTAACATTTTTTACCCATTACAAAAAAGTGTACAACGCCGCTAAAGAAGTTTTCACTTCAAAAAAACTTTTTGTTAAAAGTTTCAAATTATAACACAGATGATTTAACAGACAAGTTGGCCAAAATCAATATCATAATATTCGTTGTTACACTT